AATTACATGTCAATGAAATAAGTGACATTTTTTTTTCAACTTCCAAATCGGCTTTTCGCTACGCCTACAAACTTCAGTTTTCATTTGTGGTCGACGTTTGAGTTTTCTCTGTCTCCGTGGTGGCTGGGTTGCTTTTATTACCGAGCCTGTAGAGAATTGTCACTTCCTATCACATTAACATCGCACAGGCCAGTGTTTCAGTAACTCTAGCAATGGTCTCATAAATGCCACAAGAGCAGGCGAAAGATATTGCTTGAAACAATAGCAGCCTTTGCCTGGTTCCTGAGCACTTCTGTGACATTGTTGGATTAATCTCTTGAGGGGAAATTTTCTCTCCAATGTGGTCATGAGCTCATCACCAGGTTTTTTTATTGTGGAATACAATCTGATTTTGTCTCTGCTCTGTTATTGAAATTAAGGTAGTAGATGTGGCCAAGTGCAGAAGAGAGTTTTTGTTGACTGTTTAACAACACATAGACTCTTTGATTTATGCTGGTGTGTCCGGTTGCAACTGGGTAAAAACTCGGGAGTTTTATTAGAATTCACGCTGGCCTGGCTCCAGCACAGTGAAGTTTTTATGGACCACACTGTCTTAAGTCTGGATTATGTTTGAGTTGTGTTCCCTGTCATGATCGGTGCGAGTCCTATTCAGATGGTGATGGAAAGTGGGGACTGGCTGGTTGGGGGAGACCTGCAGGTTCTGGACAGGATCTGCTGGAATGACGGACTCGATCAGTACCGGCTGACGCCCACGGAGCTCAAACAGAAGTTTAAAGAAATGAATGCAGGTAAGGGCCAAGTTCTGTTGTTTATTTTTTTTTTGTCTGAACTAAACTGAAAAACGGTGATAAAATCTTCAACCAAGGACTTTTAGAGAGACGGTAGTGACAATATTTAGAAACTTCTACATTTTTTTTTTAAAAAGGAGAGGAGACACTTATGTAGTCCACTCACTTTTTTCTTTGTTTAGTCTTTGGGAAGGAAGTAAAAGACAGAGAAGGCAAGCCATGGGAGAGAAAGTTCTGGTGTGATTCAGTCCTTCACTGTATGCGGTTTCAGTGGCCGGGCACTTAGCTGCTTGATTATCTCTGGGTACATTGTGGCCTTCTGTTTGTTTTGTACAGATGTGTTTGGTCGCAGTTTAACAAACCCTTCTCATTCTCCCTCTGTCTCTCTATTTAGATGCTGTATTTGCCTTCCAGCTCCGCAACCCAGTCCACAACGGCCATGCCCTTCTGATGCAGGACACCCACAAGCGTCTCATCGAGCGAGGCTACCGCCGGCCTGTTCTGCTGCTTCACCCACTGGGAGGCTGGACCAAGGACGATGATGTGCCGCTGCCCTGGCGAATGAAGCAGCACGCCGCTGTGCTGGAGGAGGGCGTCCTGAATCCAGACTATACCATCGTAGCTATATTTCCTTCACCCATGATGTATGCAGGGCCAACTGAGGTAAAGATTATCAAGAATGTTGCATTTGCAGTTACTTGAGGTTACAAAATAATGTGACTGCAGCAGCGACTAATGACAACAGACACAGAGAGGAGGACTGTCATATACTTCCTGTCTGCAAATGTTTGAGAGTGAAAAATGGCAGGAAAGGGTTTTTATAATTGTCTCGAGATGCGGTGTTTAGTGTTTCCATGCCATATGCAAACCTCTTTGTGTGACTGAGCGTAGCTGTGTAGTTGGGAATGTTTAATCATTCACTTATGATGGTGGGAAAGTTACGGCGCAAATTATTGAAAGCAGATTGGAGGCTGGTAGATGTCAGGCAGTGAATTTATTTAGTTTGTAATTCTGAATGGGAGTTTTTAAGAGCCAGACTCAGCTCCAGCTTTACTATCATTGTTCTGAACTTGTTTATCCATTAATAACAACAAATACCCTCGGTCTGCCTGCCACTCAAATATTAAAACTTCTTATCAAGTGTTCGTCTTGCCAGAATGTTCTTTAGCAACACACTGAAAGCCTAATCTGAAAACTGTAGATCCTATAATATACGTGGGCAAGAACTTTCTGGCACTAGTAATAGCAACTGTCAAGGAGAAATGTGTAAATTTAACAATTATTCATGATGAAACAGAAAAAAATCCTTGAAGCTTATGGTGAATGGAAATTACTATGGGTAATATGTGTGGGGCTTAAGTTTGCCAAGTCAAAATGGTAAATGTAGCTGTGAGTTCTTTTTAACTGGTTTTATATTTTAAGATGTCACTTTTACCCTACATAATTTTTTTTTAGATAATATTTTGAGTCGTAGTGAGATATTGTAGCACTCACGGCCAGGTCGCCTCTGAAAATAGGTTCCAAACACTCTTAAAAGTAAAAACATCTGGAATAACCATTTCATTAAAGGTAACAATCTTTATTTTATGAAAATACAATAATTCTTCTATAAAATCGTTGTTTGGAGACTTCCTTATTGGACTAACAGAGCAGCATGATTACCATGCACAGTGCATAAGGGCCTTACAATCTACACACCATCTACAGCAAATACAATGGGTTGAGCCTGAGCACAAAGAAAACTGAACCACATAGAAAAGATTCAATTTCATCACTATGAACTACTGTTTATGAAGATGTCAAGCCATACATTCAATAGTAACAATTGAAAATGAATAATTAATTTAATAATTAAATGTTTTAATTAGATTAGGAATGTTTTGCAAATCTGCTGTAAAATGTAATAAAAAGAAAGTGCAAATGTGAATTCCATACATTTTCTTTCTTCAAATTTGTGTTTTTAATGATTCTCCAGTATTTACAATATTTCTGCCCCCCCGGCACAGGTTCAGTGGCATTGCAGAGCTCGAATGGTTGCTGGAGCCAACTTCTACATCGTAGGCCGTGACCCTGCAGGCATGCCCCACCCTGACACAGGAAAGGACCTGTATGAGCCCACTCATGGGGCCAAGGTCCTCACCATGGCTCCGGGCCTCATCACCCTGGAGATTGTACCCTTTAAGGTCGCTGCTTACAACAAGGTCAAAAGAGCAATGGACTTTTATGACTCCAAAAAGTGAGTACTTGTTTATGTTGTAATTTCATATTTTAAAGCCTTTTTCTTGTTTCCCATAGTATTTAATTTTATTAGGGTTATAGAGTGCAGAAATGGCTTGAGTCAAAAGCGGCAGTGCTCACTAACACTAAATTAAATAGCTTCATTGTAGATTTAGTCCAGAGTTATACCTCTCATTTAGGCCAATTAGAACCAGCAGCCTAAACAGAAACTGCATACTCATAATTAATTACTCATTAGGCTTGACTAGTTTTAAAAAAAAAAATTTCTTCTATCTACAGTAAAAGGCCAAGCCAAGAATAACAGGAGTTGTTTTTCTTTCTTATACAGTTAAAAGGTTTTGTGGATTAGTATGAGCTTTGTTGTTGCTCAAAAATTACAGAGACCTGCCATTAATTAAAGTCTGTATAAAGACACTGCACATGATGACTAACTAAAAAACATGCAGTCTCACCGCCTCTCAACCGGATTTGATGCAAACCTCCACCATCAGGTTATGAAACTTTAGCTGTGTTTGGCCAGGAATGTTCAAACTAAATATGGCCAGACTAATCAAAAGCTATGCTTTGTTTTCCATGATGCGTATTTATGATGTTGAGTCAAAAAATGACTTGTTCATCGGGAACATCTAGGACTTCTAGTGCTACTAAAAATAGTATGTTTACTTATGATAATGATAGTTTGTCACTACACAAGCAAATGTGTAGTGAAGTGAGGTGTACTTATTAAGACAAATGTGAAAAAATAAGAATTAAGAAATATGAAGGATAAAAATTCAGAAAATCATAAATAATATGAGAACATTTTAAATTTACATGTCAGAATTGTAGGCAAACTAAACAATAACATTTTGTACAAACTGAGTAGAAAATTAAAAGTATATGCAAGTATATGCTATGCTGTAGGTGTCTCAAAACATGAACTTTTAAAACATATTTCAGAATGTCATGTGTTGGTAAATTGCTCTTTTTGTTATATACAATTTACTGCATTTTTGATATAATCCCATTGATCTGATGGCTTGCTATCATTTTAAAGCTAAAGCTAGAGAGCAAAGTCTGTAGTTGTCACTCAGTTAGGCATTCTATTCTCTAATGCACGCAGACAGCCTCTCGCCACATTTCAGGAGGAATGCGGACTCTTATCGCCAGCAAAACCCCTCAGTCTTTTTTATAAAGTGTAATGGCTCAGATCACAGCAAGCTGTGTCTAATTTGACACTGTATAAAAATGTTCCCTGAAGAATTTGCCTGGAGCTCCTTACCTCACGCCACGTGATCTGTGTCATGGTATAGCAATGACAGGAACCTCTCTGAATGTAAGCTTAGTGGAGGTGCGTGTAAATGTCGGCGAACAAGACGTCTGAAACGTGTTGATTATCTCTGGCAGTAATTTATAGACAAGGCTAGTGAAGCTGTGCCAGTACTCTGCTCCACACCCGTCTAAGGTGAACACTGTCTTTGGCTGCTCGCTTCAAACAAAGTTGTTAGTATCGTTTCTGAACCAGGAGAACTTAATCTGTAGTGAGAAGCCGTCTGTCACAGATAAGGTGGCACAGTAGAGTAGATTTAGGTGTACAAAAAATGTTTGGACAAGGGAAATCTACAATCTGATGAGTGGGAAATATCTGACTACATTACATTGCATTTACATTTATTCATTTAGCTGATGCTTTTATCCAAAGCAACTTACAATTGCTGTCTATGTCAGAGGTCGCACACTTCTGGAGCAACGAAGTGTTAAGTGTCTTGCTCAGGGACACATTGGTGTGTCACAGTGGACTTAAACCTGGGTCTCTCACACCAAAGGCATGTGTCTTATCCACTGCACCATCACCACCCGTAATGACTACTGACTACTCTGTCAGTATGTGATTTTCCAATCGGTATTTCATTTCAACCAGCGTATCACAGCTTCATTCCTTCATGCAGACAGACTGTTTGGTGGTGGGGATGTTTGACAGTAGTGTGTGATACCCTAAAGTGATAATACAGATTTTTTACTTTTCTGGACAGTCAGGGCTTTATTAAATAAAGTAGTAACTAGCATTTGTTTGTTTTTAATATATGAGTTTACATTTACGTTAGAATCTGGCAGTGTTGCATTGAATAGAAATTGGTTAGTTGTACTAATCTACTCAATGTCTGATGTTACACCTTTAACCTTTTTAAATTACTTATTTTCTCCTCAAAGAGCACTAGTGGGTGTAGGGGACACCAGAAGTGCTCATGTCATCAATAAAACTATAATCATAACAGAAAAAAAGAGTGCAAAAAATATAGAAGATATTACAGGATATTAACAAGCAATATGCAAAAATTCACGGTAAGACATAAAAGAATTAGTGGACACATCATTTGTTTTGTCACACTAAATTGATTGTTGTTGTATGGAGTTATTTACACCAGAATTAGACCAGAAAAAAAAGCCTGCATTAAATATCAAAAAACAAAACTCAAGCAAGTACCCCTGAAGGCTTAATCACTACATCTCATATATGTAATAATTATTCCATGTGTATTCACATGCATTAATGGAAAATTTAACTTTAAGCCTCTGCCTGTAGGATTAATAACTATGGTGTAGTAAAGATTCACAAAGGATCTTAAACAAAGACATATAAATGATACATCTAGCGTGCTGGTACTTACTGGATTGTCACAGTATCAAGCCACAGAGTTGTTTAGGAGGAATTACTAATAAAGCAGCTGCCATAATTGGTCAGCAAATGAAACGTAGATTTTAGCGATATAAATATTCTCTTACACAAACAGTCATCCTGTCATTTTAAAGGATCCGATGTTTTGTTTACTGTACTGTGTTTTGTCCACCTCAGCCTACCGGTGTTGCAGCACTGCTCTCCTTTAGGACAGCCGACTCTACAGTGCAGCATTTCGCTCGCATATGTGAGTGAAAATTAGTGTGCGTGTGTAAATGTACTAGTGCACACGCGGCTAGCTCTCTCTTTCTCATTAGCAAAGAGCATCACTGAGTGTTTTATTTAATACGTCTACCAAGTCTTCTCTTTAGCTGATCATGTCACGTCAGTTTCAGGAGTTGCATTCCCAGTTAAACTATTATTAATTTCATAAATCAATAATTTAAGCCAAATCAAGGGCCGTCAGTATTTTGATCACGTAGCTTGTGAAAAACAAAGTGTGCCAGATGCAGTAATCTAGAGCTGTTATTTCAGTGAGTCAGATACATTTCAGTATCGACTTTTGAGTTGGCAGATACACAATGCTAAATGACTCGGACCGGGGACTTTGGATTGTGTTTGCAGAAATGCTAACTGACCTGCTCCTACGCTCTTAAAGCAACAGGCAGTTATTGTTGGCTCATATTTCCTGTGCTGCTGATAAGCATCTTTTCATTGATTAAAATATGCCTGTTACTCAAAACTCTTAATCTCTGTTTTTTTTAATTGCAGCCATGAAGATTACGATTTTATCTCAGGCACACGTATGCGCAAGATGGCTCGTGAGGGAGAGAATCCTCCTGACGGCTTCATGGCGCCGAAGGCTTGGGCTGTGCTGAAAGAATACTATAAGTCACTGGAGAAGGCCTAAAGGTCACATCTTAGAGGAAAAAACATGAAAACACATTGTTTTTTTTACTGATGTTTAAAACGCCGAATGCGGGGACCACTCATCTGCTATCAGAAACCACGCACAGCTGTCAGTCATGAAACTGGTCTCAGTCTCATATTTGTGTTTTAACCGTATGAACTTTTATTAACTAAACTTACAAACAAAAGAATTTCTTTGAAAGTAGATGCTTGTGTTTCTCACTAACATTTATAACTGTATATTCTGATGGCTGGTTACAGAAAAGACTGTGTGAAAATATAAGATCAAGACTTGTAATGACCTGTGTAGAAAGTACTGTTGACCAGTACTTATACAGGAACGAATGAATGTTGAGTATTTGTGATGTCTCATTTTAAAACATTTTAGCTCCTGCTAAAGTTCACTTAACTCACCACTGAAACCCAGTTGCTTTATACTGTATGTTTGCAAGTGGCCGTGGTAATTGCTCAGAATTTGGTGTACACAAGTATTTGATGTAAAAGTCGAGTGCCTTGGTCTTCAGAAAATGAACTCACATTATGTCTTGTTTGAATTAGGACACAGACAACACGCCTGCTTCTTGTCCCACTTGTCTTGATGTTACTCTGAAACAGTCCAGTAGTTCAAGAAATGGTTTGCAAAACAGATCAGTATAAAATGTTTTTTTTTTTAAATTGGAATATGCAACCCTAACCTTCCTAAACTCCTAGGAAAAACTTTTTAAAACGTTTTTGTCATATATTTAGTATATTTATTCTGTCCTAACATTGCAGTGTTTTCTGTTTTTGACAGTGTTGTGCATGTAGTTTTGGTACTTAACAGTCTTGATATTTTGTTACATTTTCTTCATTTGTTCTCATGGGTTGCTAATATTTTCCATGTGGTAATTCATTTTAAGAGTTGGCCTGTATTAACATATGGTTGATGGTTACCATCAAGGGATCAGATTTGTAATCTTCCTTGTCCAATAAACCATTTTTAGCTAAAAGAACAATTTGTTTACTTTTGCTTTCTGTAATCTTTGGGGGGTTTTTACACACAATGCACGATATGTGTTTTTTTGTTTTCTTTTTTTTTGCAGCACACCAAAGAGTTTTAAATACATAACATATTCTCAACTTAATTTTGCTTGCACTGAATGATTGCACTGAATTTCATGTATTTTAGATGTCATGAACTTTTCGCTGCCTGTGTAAACTAAATAGCTCTAAGTCCCTTCATGTCTTTGTGACTAAACTGTTTCAAGTGCATTTTGTCATATACATGAACAGTGCACCCTGTAAATTTAAATTTCCACAGTTTCGTAGGCACTGCCTGTTTGAACCTTTGTGGCCTTCCAGTCGGTCAATCAGCTGTATATTGAATGAGACAGATCCTCTAGTGACCCTAATCAGACTCAGACACACTCGCACGCTGTGAAAAAAGCTGCAGCTGGCTCCCAGATGGAGCAGTGTAGTGAAAGTGGAATGTACAGGGTTAAATCCAGACAGAGAAGAGTGGCTCTGTCAGAAATACCCTAGATACTTCATCTAATCCAACTCCAAGATGTAATGAAGAAGCCTGCCAGCAGCAGTTTTTTCTACCTTTCACCAGATCTTGTTCAATCTTAAATGGTAATCAAGCTGGCTCCTCAGTAGAACTTCAAAAGAAGAGCTCTTTTTTCACACAGAAAATGATGAGAGGTTGCCTTATGATTTTTGTTGTTCTTTTCACTGTCTGGAGAAGATCAGTGTCTCTGGGTAATGCAGGTGTCTGTTACTATGTGTATCTGTAACCTCTTGATGTTATCTTGCTTGCACAGTGTATTTACTTCTGTGTCCCTTTACAGCTTGTTCGCCCCATAATCTGATCTTGCTTTGAAACTTTTCATCTCTCAGAGGGTGTTACAGTGTGGCAGCCTGCCAGGGAAAAAAGGCTGAAGGTGCCAGAAGAATTTGTAGTGTTCTCACTACTGTTTACACCACAAATGCCTTCACTCACCTGCACCAACTCATTTCAACTCGAGTGGCAGAATTTAGAACTCAAACATTCATCAGAGGCAATAAAACCCAGGGACTTTTTTGATGAGGATTTTTGGAGGATCCTAAACTTATTCCGGACTTTTTAGTTTGCAACTTGAGTGTATCTAAGAAGTTGAATGTTACTAATTTATGCAGTTGTTCATGTTTATATATACAGTTGCAGGAAAAAGTATGTGAACGCTTTGGAATTACCTGAATTTCTGCATAAATTGGTCATAAAATGTTATCTGATCTTCATCTAGGCTTAGTCACAACAATACAGTCTGCTTAAACTAATACCACACAAACAATTATATGGCATATGGCATATAAAATTCTTTATAAACTTTGGAATTCATTTTTCCATCAGTGATAGCCAGGGACGTGCACAGGAATTTTGAAGGGCAGTTGCTCTGACCTGAAAAAAGGCACCCCCCCCCCCCCCCCCCCCAAAAAAAAAAAAACAAACAAAAAACATGGGGTATATGAAGGACTGAGAAAAAAACATTTTTTTATTAAAAAATATACAAAAAGTAAAAACACTTAAATACAGCACTCAATAACCTAACTACTATTAATAACAAAACAGAAAAACATGACTCGAGTCATGAAAATACCTACATCAATATCCTATCAACTCACTGATAGGTTGCTCCACATTTGGATAATAAACATGCAAAGCTTCAGAGGAGAAGCCGCCTATTAGGGGCCATTTCAACAAAATCTTCAGAACTTCTTCCTTGTCAATTCCTATGTCCTTCTCTATCGCCAGCAGGAGGAGGTCAGACAGCCTCTCTTGACCACACTGATTTCTGAGCCTTGATTTGACCAGCTTCAACTTTGAAAAGGAACGTTCTACCGTTGCAGTGGACACGGGTAGAGTGGCATATATTTTGATTAGTTTGAATAGTGTGGGGAATATGACGTTAGCATTGTTTTCCTTGAATACTTCGAGCATAGACTTGACTGTCCTATTTATTTTTTATTATTTATTGCAAAACGTCAGAGTGAGATGACAGGTTTATGATATACAACTTTGTAAACACTAAACACAGTATCCAAAATGTATTAACAATATAAATGTCACCAAAATACATATGAGAAAAGAGTTCCTTATATTATTGTTTATTGTTTTTTTTAATCATTATTATTTTTTATTTTTTTTCCTTTGTTTTTTTATTTGAAAATAAATAATCTAGATTGAATTGACAGATGGGGAAAACTCGCTTCTAATAAAATATTAAATAAAAAAACGCTTAGATTTCGGAAAAAAATACAATCCTTTTTAACCTTTTGGCTTCCCGTACATTCAGTTGCGCTTCTAGCTCGTATTCACTTCTGTTGGTACGTATCACGTATGGTAACTGGGCAAAACTACGCATGATTTGTTGTAGTATGATTGCATAAAGGAAGGAAACAGGAATTCCGGTAGGGAACAGAATCGACTGACGTGCAGGCAGCGCTGCAGCAGTGCAGCCACTTAAACAGAGTTTGCTCTTCCCCTACTGACTTTCACTTTCGGTGCCCGAATGGAAGTGAATGAGGCTTTGCGATCGCGATTATATTTTTATTTTTTTTTTTTCTCGGAAGGGCGAGTCGGAAGGGCAACTTGAGTCAGGAAAGGCAAACGGGCAGTTGCCCGGGCAACCAGAGCAACCCCCCTGTGCACGTCCCTGGTGATAGCAACCTTCCCAGGCCCTGAGGCAGCGAAGAATCCCGAAACCATGATTCCCGCTCCACCATACCTCACAGTTGGAATGAGGTTTTGATGTTTGTGTGTTGTGCCTTTTTTCCTCCACACATAGGGTTGTGTGTTCCTTGCAAACAGCTCAACATTGGTTGGTTTCATCTGTCCACATCTGTTTCATCTGTCAGTTTTCAGCTGACACTAGGACTCTTTAGCATTGAACATTCTGCGATGTGCTTGTTCAGTCATCTTTGCAGAAAGGCCACTCCTAGGGAGAGTAGCAACAGTGTTGAACTTTCTCCATTTATAGACAGTTTGTCTAAAGTGGACTGATAAACACAAGGCTTTTAGAGATTCTTTTGTAACCCTTTCCAACTTCATGCAAGTCAACAATTATTCTTTAATTAATTAATCTTAGGTCTTCTGAGAGCTCTTTTCTTTGAGGCATGGTTCACATGAGGCAAAATTTAAATTGTGTTTTTTTATAGGGCAGGACAGCTCTAACCAACACCTCCAATCTTGTCTCGTTGATTGGACTCCAGGTTGGCTGACTCCTGACTCCAATTAGCTTCTGGAGACGTCATTTGTCTAGGGTTCACATACTTTTTCCACCCTGCACTGTAAATGTTTACACAATGTGTTAAATAAAAACCAGACTTATAATTGTTTGTGTGGTATTAGTTAAGCAGACTGTGTTAGTCAATGTTTGTGACTTAGATGAAATCAGAACACATTTTATGACCAATTTATGCAGAAATCCAGGTAAGTCCAGGAAAAGGGTTCACATACTTTTTAATTAACACACACACACACACACAACATTTTGCTAGATTCTTGCAACTCATTAAGGGCATTTTCTCTTGCTAGAGTCACCAGAGCTTACCATGATCTCACTTTTCTGACTTTTCTGTCTGTTTAGCTACTTTTCTGTAGCTAAATATTCTCTTAGTGCACACCATGTCAGTTAAACATGCAAAAATGTAAAATTAGTCTTACTACATAGTTGTAAATTACAAAATAATGTATGATATAATATTTGATTCTTGGGTTTAAATCTCAGTCACTTTAACCTAGACATTTCATTTAGCTGTCATGGCTCCCATATAATTTTCCTGATTCCTTTTCAAATAAATTAGGTGTAAATCTGTGCTCTGACTCAGAGTATTGCTTCCATCTTATGTATAATTAGTACCAAATAACATAGTTATGTTTATTGCAAAAGTCATAGTAAAGTATGTAAATGTCACCAGTGTAGCTTTTGTTTTCTACACATGTAGCCTACCAATCTGCATGCCTGCAACATCATACATGCAATGACATCACCGCTGTCTCATCATGCCACCAAAAGGTTCTGCTCTTACATGGACTCCAGCTGCATTTATCTCCAATTTCCTTCCATCTGGTTTGAGTTCCATTCAAAGCCAGTCATGATAAAAACAGGCTTTACTTTGCAAAATGCAATGCAGTGATACAGGACATGGTTAAAATTCAAGGAAATCTGTGTTCCTCAGCGATGGCTCTGAGGTGTGTGCAGTTCAGAGTCAGTGCTCATCAGCAGGAATGTTTGTGTGCGATCATCTGGTCCTTCATGATGGCAGTGGAAAGCGCTATCTTACATACTGTTTCATGAGCTTGGGTAAAATAATCCTGGGTTTTTCTGAGGTTCTGACATATGGTGAACATAGTTACTGTTATGCTTATAAGGGGCAGTTTGATCCTGAAATACACGGTTCTTATTAACCTGCCCCTATTTCGAGGAAAAACGCCTACAATAATACCCAGAATGAATCAGGAATAACTCCTTAACTAAATGCATAATTCTAAAATTTTTCTAAAATAAACCAGGCGAATGTCCATGTTTTGGCCATATTTACTGTTTATATGTTCACTGGTATTAGGAGTTTTCTTTAAAACACTATTTCTGTCCATACAACCACGTCCCAAATAACTTAAAGCTTCCAAAACACTGAAAAATTTATAA